GTAATATAGTAACGGTGTTCGCCCTTTCTGATCGGAGGTCGTGGGTGTATAGATGTTGAAATTTCTTTGATAAAATTTGTTGAACTTGAAAGAACCATGCAACGAGGAGTTCATTTGAACAAGTCTCGCCTCGATCTAATGTAGAACGGATGAGCCATACACACAAGTGACCCTAAACTTGATGCATGGAGTGTTGAAGACCACTAGGCCTATCAAATTTCCTCCATGTGTTTCCCTTCATATCCACAGTAAGTATCATAGAGTACTGCCTAGAGCACCCCATAATGTGCAGACAACCGTTAAAAAACACATTTGGTGATCTATAAAATATCATATCAGCATGCTCACCCCATTCAGATTCCATTTAGATCCATGCTACAGTTCAGAGGAGTAGATCTCCACACCTACGCACACAGCGTCGACATCCACATATTCAATCACATAGAAGTACGAGGAGGCTATCGGATCAAACCCCAAGCGAGCCTCACCAACATAATGGCTAACATTAGGGGTGCTAGGCGGTGGTATATTAAACTTCTGGGTCATTGGATTACAGATGACATAGCGGTATCCATTAGCCCCAAGGCACCAACATAGGATGAGGCCGTTGCAGCAATCTAAGACAGTTACATTGTCAATCTTGAAGGGCAAGAATTCCAATGAGGGGGGCATACACCAGGGATGCTGGTGAAGTGTCGATTGCTGTCCTCACTATCATAGAAGAAGCCAGCCACAGTCTGGGGTAGATTCTTATGGTTGTTAGAATCCGAGATGAGGTTTCTCCAGGAGCGACAGACATATTTACAGCAGAACAAGGAGCGGGCAAGGAGGCATCGGAGGATCTCGAAAATGACATCCTTCGTGAGGCTGGCTAGTGTGTTCCTCTTGTTGGGGTCCTCCTCCATTTCATCAATGTGCAGTACGATGAGAGCTTCCTCAGTAATGAGATCACTGAAGAGAAAAATAATCCAACAAAGATCCATCAGTGAAGTCCACAACTCATACCAAAGTATAACTTTAACAACCATTAACAATTTTCATGGTATGACCTCATGTAAATTTAGAGTAGCACCACATAGATATATATAACTCAAACTAGAGTAGCAGTTAATGGAGCTGTAACCATTACAATTTTAGTAGTTAATTGAGCTTCCTCAGTTCAAGTAGAATGTCAGTGAACAAGTGGTAGTGATCATCATTGGCATCAGTAGCAACATGTATAGCTTAAACATTATTGGCCTCAGTGATGTGAATGATGGACACAAAGAATTGATTTGCTTTCGATGTCTTCCTCTTGTTTGGAACCAAATGGATAACTTAGTTGTCAAACATATGAGATGCATCCTAATACATCCAACAGCCATGTAGACATCATTGTCACATAAATGTGGCCTTAGATATGTTACAAGTTCAAAATACCATAAGGACTCACTAGTGACACCGGAGCATACGAAACAGAAATGTAGAATCAAGCAAGCACTGGACAAAAAAATAGTTTAAGGCAGAATCAAAGGGCATGTATGTTTGTCTAGACAGATAGGTATAATCAAGTAAGCACTTGACAATTAACAGGCCTAGTAACATAGGCATTTACAGTAAGTACACTGAACATATATAGAAAACCAAGACACCAGCAGAAAACCAACCACTGCCATCACCTAGTTCTTTTCATCAGCATTGGCCTAACCAGGTCTGCAACGCTACAATGTTTCTTGTATACCTCATGTTCAAGCAAGGACCAAAACAGTGAAGTGAATAGGAAAAGGCAAGAAATGAGACCTGTGGACCGGATCTGTCACCTCTACCACGGCACACGACGAACATGGACGCTAATGCCGCTGCGCTCCACTGAGAAGACCCACCGTCTAGCCTCCAAAAGGATGCCTGAGCCACCACAGCAGCACACCGGGGATCCTATCCGTTGCCACCACCGCTGTAAGTCCAATGGACACAGATTTGTTTCCACTTGCAGGGGATATATCTAATATATAAGTTAACATGTCCACATAGAGAACATATACTACTATGAGGACTCCAAGGACATATCAACACAACCAGGCATCTATCGCAATGGTGAAGATGGTCTATTCCTTGCTCTGGGTCCCAGGTTTGACTCCCAGGTCTCATAGTTTTTTAGTTTGAATTTATTAAACCCCGACAGCAACAAGTGACACGCAAGCCGTCAGGTCCCACAGGTCGGATGGAGATGGAGAAAGGTCCAACAGGTATACATGACACGTAAGCCATCGGGTCCCAAAGGTCAGATAGAGAAGGGTCCACAAGTGACACGCAAGCCGTCGGGTCCCACAGGTCGGATGGAGATAGAGAAAGGTCCCAAAGGTACACGTGACACGTAAGCCATCGGGTCCCACAGGTCGGATGGAGAAGGGTCCCACAGGTACACGTCGGATGGAGAAAGGACCGAGCGGATACTTTTACGACAAAAAAGAACCGAGCGGAGACTTTTATGATGAATTGCCAACGCCATGGATGAGTAACGGCAGGTTCCACATGTACACATCGGATGGAGAAAGAACCATGTGGAGATTTATGACGAAGTGTCGTTCGTTACAGATCGAATATTGTTGATCACAGATGTGTAATTAGTTCAATGACGAAGCCCTGGTCGTCATAGTTCTAAATAAGTTCGTCACAGATGTGCAGGAACAATCACGCGAGTGATCTGTGACGAAACCATGTGCTGTTCTATGACGTTTTTTGTGACTATATCCGATTTCGTCATAAAAAGGGGGGTTCGAGGATCGTCATCGATGATCTTTGATGAAACCGATATATTCGTCATAAAAAGCAATTTTATGACGGTTTCGGATTCGGCATTAAGATTTTCATCATAGAAGTGAATATTTCTAATACTGGCAACACTTACAACATACATCTGAAGGCTAATGAAACATATGAAACATGCATCTAAAACACTAGCTGCAACACCAGATCTACTTTTAAAATATTCAGATAAAACACTTGCAACGTACGTATGAAATAGCTGAAACACTCGAAACATGTGTATGAAATACTTGGCAAAAAACACATGAAAAACACTTCATATTTGTGAAAACATATGCAACCTCCAGATGAAAACACTTGCAAACATACGTACGGAAAACTAGATGAAACATTTAGAACATACACTTGAAACATACGTGTATAGCCACTGCAACATGTGCAACATTTTGATCTACTTTTGCAACATCAAGATGATACACTTGCTACATCTAGATGAGACATCTGAAACACTTAAAACATAATCTTGCAACATGGGCTTTGCTTGGACGAATGGAGGCACACCGGCGCGGAGGTCGACAGCGGCGCATGGACCGCGCTATGCGATAGCGGCATGAGCAACTCGCCGACGGGCCCGGCGTCACACAAATCTCGTCCCCCTCGCCTGCTTGCTGGAGCATCCGTCGTGGAGGCCCGCCGACTCGATGGAGGCGGTCACAACGAGCGGGCCGGCCGCGGCGAGGGGGCAGCGCGATGGAGGCGAGCGAGGCAAGCTGAGCCCAGTGGGGAATGCGGCGTGGAAGAGGCAGCACGGAGGAGGCCACAGGGGATGGGTGAGGCGCGGCGGGGGACCGACGGTAGCGAGGCAGAGTGAGGTGGACACGGCGACGCAGCAAGGAAACAGCGCAGTGAGCATCAGGACGTGTGGACGGGACGAGCGGATAGAGTCGCTGGATGAGCGACGCGTGCGGGAATGAGTGGAGGGAGGTGTCCGGATGTCTTAATTGTGTCATTATTATTTTAGTGATTGTTATCACTCATAGTAAAACACATTTCTTTATTATAGAAATCAAATACGCTGGACGCACGTGTCATATATTGCAAAAGCATCACAAGCCCTCCACGGCCGCCACGCAAGCTTCCGTGCCACATTGGGGATGTTCAGTGAGCTAAAAGCTTTTGTAGTTGGGCAGCTAGGCGCTCCAAATTTGTTTAGGGTATGTCTCCAACAAGAACATTTATATGGACACTCAAACTTAAAATGGGTAATAGAGACTTAAAATCAGCCTCCAACAGACTACCTATATGAAAGATTCATTTTAGGTTGCCTAATAGATACAACCTAAATATGAGCATCCACTCTTTTGAAAACTCATTTGTAGAAAAAATTCTCTTTTGGGTCTTATTATTAAAGAAGATACTGAATGATTATTGAACTCTTTAACTGTAATGTTATCTGGGTGTTATCACTGGAGATAATACACGTTGCCAAATGCCACACCTTCTGAGCGACTCGTAAAAAGCTGGTCCATGTTTGGAGCATCCCACTAGTACGTACCTCCGACTGCAATTAACTAAAAATTGACGTTTCAGGTTTGCTTCCTGTCTTAAATGTCATACTTAGACAGGAGGGATTATGTCCTATCCATTTGGTTGAACTTAAGCATCAGTCTCACTCTCGCGTGAAGACTATGGCCATATCTTATCACAATTTTGGACGAAAAAGATTCCATCCTATGTTTTTCCTCTACTATTAATTTATTCCTCGACAAAGCAAACTGAGTGTACTAAGCATGACTCAGCTAATACTGCTGAAAACAGAGTAAGAACAGACATCTCCATCCTAATTTTGCTCTACTAGATTAATTAGCAGTGCCAAACACACAAAGAATATTCAATGCCGGCCTAGCAAAGTGCTGGCGTAATCACTTTCGTACACTAAAAACCACAACAAGCCGGATCATAAAACGTCACGAACCACGCTACCGCACAGCATATATGAAATCCTCTGTCCCCACGGCATCGCCACCTCCCGTGGCATCCCACCCGTCCATCTGCCATCCAACGCTTTGCCTCAGCGCCGACCCCACCTGCCCCGCCACACAAGCGCCCAGCCCGTGGCATGACTCAGCACTGCGGGGCCCACCCCGAGGTCGCTTAAAACCCAAGCAATCCAACCAACCACGAGGGATTATTCATTTTCCTAAAAAAACAAATCAAAGCCGGAGGGAGAAGCCAGAAGAGTCGCGAAGGAAGGAATGGGGAAGGGCAAGGTGCATCCCTCGCCGTCGCCGCCGGCGGCCGCGGGAGGCGGAGCGGGGGAGATGATGACAGCGGAGGCGGTGCTGATGCGGCTGCTGCCCGCGGCGGTGCTCGCGGCCGCGGCGCCGCTCGGCGCCGAGGGGAAGGAGGTGCTGGCGTACCTGGTGCTGGCGTCGCTGCGGTCCTCGGCGCCGCCGACGCCGGCGCGCGGCGGGGACGGGAAGGCGGCGGGGGAGCACCACCGGCCGGAGCTCGGGTGCGGCTGCTTCGGGTGCTACACGGCGTACTGGTCCCGCTGGGACGGGTCCCCGGAGGGCGACCGCGACGCCATCCACCGCGCCATCGAGGCGTTCGATGAGCACCTGGCGGAGGAGGAGAGGGACCGCGGCAAGGGAGGCGGGGGCCGCCGCGGCCGGAAGAAACGCGCCGGCGCAGCAGCTAAGGAAGCCGCCGAGGAAAAGGCCGGCAAGGCCAAGGGGAAGGGGAAAGAGAAGGAGAAGGAAGTCGGCGTCGATCCCCTCCCGCCGCTGCATCCGCCGGCCGAACTCCCTGGTGCCCCGGAGGAAGCCCCGAAGGCGGAGGACGGCGCGGAGTACCTGACGGCGGAGGACGAGAAGGAAGAAGAGGCTTCGACCGGGGCCGCCGGCGCCGAGGAGGAGAAGCGGCGGCGCGGGTGGGGCTCCGTGCTGAGTTTGAAGGCGTGGGGCCTCTGGGGGTCCCACTAGTCAGCCATGGATAGGTTCCCCTCGCTCTCCCTCCCTGTTCAGTTAGGTTTGGTGCTGAGTTTGAAGGCTCACAGTTTCATACGCCAAGCACCATGATAATAATCACGATGTGTTTTAATATTTGTTGATGGTGCGGTGGGTCACGTGTTAGGTTCTCGTGTGTAGTGTACATATACGGAGGCAGGCAGGGAGTGCGTGGTTGGTGTAAATTAATCATTGTAATTTACTCCTACTAATGTAAATGTGCAAGTAGTAGTCGTTGATATGACTATGCTGTGGATTGCAATTTTCAAATGGTTTGAACGTTTTGGGTCGCTGGCCTAGCCGCCTCGCTAGGACTCGGACTTAGTTTTGGCCACACTACTAGTAAAAACTTGCGCGGAATTTGCACAGGAAGTGTGATGGCAACTGCTGAATTCTGCTTGGGTCGGCAAGGGAGAACTCGCCCTGGTCCAAACCGCGCGGGCTGAAATGATTTGGTTGCCGTGAAAAATCTCTGGCTTAGTTTCCGTGTTTGAATCTGGAATGCCTTTTGCGGATGTCAACAGTTGGACTAGTGGACTGTGCCCAGGAATGGAATATGGGACTTGAACGCTTTGATCACCTGATCGTTAGTGAGAAATTGCGAGACGAAACTTTCGAACATAATTAGTCTTTAATTAGACACTAATTACCAAATACAAACGAAATGCTACAGTACCCAAAACCCAAAAATTTTCGGATCTAAACGCGCCTTAATTGTGGCAACTACTGGTCAGTACTACAGTGCAGTAGTACTATGTTCTTTGCTTTGCTTGGGGGCTAAGCGTCGGAGGATGTTTGTGTAGTTCAAGTGGCTCTGGCATGCCGGTTGGTACTTTTGGCCAATCTGTCTAATCTGCGTTTCAAGCAACCAACTCGCTGTCGCAAATGCCTTTCGACTAGCAGCATGTTCGGCAGCCTGTATTTAGCTTATAAGCCTTAGATTATTAGTTAGTCAACAGTATTTTTTTCTCACACTAAATCAGTTAATAATATTTTTAGCCATGGCTCGTAAGCCAATCCAGCCGAAAAGAACGGTGACGGTGGCAGGCGCGACAGGGAAATCAAGCCGTGGAGCTGAGCAGGTCAATGGGCAGGGAACACACTGCTTCTGTTTGGTCTGCGACCTTGCGGCAAAGTGGCGTGCTGCCTGCCCAGTGGGCAGTGGGCTGCTTTGTCAGGTCGGTGGTGGCTTGGCTCAAACCTACTCGGCGTTACATTTCCTTTTTTTTTCATCCACCTTGAGTACGGAACATTTTCATATTCCATCGGTACATATATTATTTGTCGTTTTAGTTCAAATATAAGAATTAAGGAAAATTGGAAAAGTTACAGTGCATGAGAAACAAGAGACAGATGTAGAGATACAGATGTATTATTGTAGCAACCGGATTACCGGAGGATACATGAAACAGAGACGTTTCTATTTTTAAACAAAAATGAAGTACAAAATACTCAATTGTCACTTGAAAATAAGGGATTTAGAATTTATATAAAGCATTTCGAAATTAGGCCCGGTTGCAAGGGAATGTATAGGACGGGGCATGATTTTGTGTACAACGCTAGAAACATACGTTTACAACATGCACTTTTAGCGTAACATCTTCTTGTTGCTTGGGCGAATAAAGGCTCGTCGGTGTGTGAAGTTCAACAGTGTAGAGCTCGCCGGAGGCACATACAGGGCAAGGTAGGGGCAGCACGATGGACGGCGTAGAGGGCAAGTGGGATGACCGGTGGGCGCTTGGACGCTATGGAGAACGCCGAGGTGGCACGGTCGCAGTGGGGCCCAGTCGTGGCACGGTCGCGGACCTGGGTGGCGGCGCACAGAGGGAGAGGTGCACTACCGGAATGCCCAGGTTCGCCGTGTGCCCACGGCACACGGTGAAGGCAAAAAAAAAACACTCGGCAAAGCCTTTGTCGAGTTTTGCACTCGGCAAACGGCACTCGGCAAACACAGACTCGCCAAAGTTGTCTTTGCCGAGTGTTTTTTGTCGAGCACTCGGCAAAGACGTTGCCGAGTGCTAAAACCGACACTCGGCAAAAAAATTTCAAAAAATATATGAAAAAGCCCCCCACCCCGCACGCGCCTCGTCGGCGCCGCCGCCCGCCCGCTGCTCGCCCCGTCGCCGCTGCCACCATCGTCCACGGACAGGCCGCCGCTGCCACCATTGTCCAGCAGCAGGCAGCAGCCGTGCAGTGCCTCCCACATGTTGCCGTTGGGCATGTACCCGTACACCAGTAGGTTGTAGTCGGCGCCGGAGTAGCAGCAGTAAAGCTTCACGATATTTTTGAGCTGGATGCTGGCCAGCGTCTCCACCTCCGTGCGGAGCTCGTGGTCGCCGATCCACCCGCCGCCGTCACTGTTGCCGCTGTCTCTGCTGTTGGCGGTGGTGGTCTTGGTCACCGCCACAGCCGCGCGCCCAGTCCACCTACTTTACGCTTTCGTGGGCGCGGCTCGGCGTGTGGAAGCTTCGTCACGTCGATGCGACCTTGGCCGGACGCCGGCGACAACGCCAGACACTCGCCTGCTCCGCGAGCCACCACGAACGAAAGCGCCCACCGTGGCGCTTAACGGCACGCAAGGCTAGATCCGAGCGATTTGGGTCTCACCCGCCCGGCCACCGCCGTCGCATGGCAGCCTGCAGAAAGCCATGGCGTGGTGAACTGGCAGCCACGACCGCCCGCGCCAGCGACACGTGGCGGGCACCTCGCCACCGGCAGACGACGCCGCGTCGGGCGCCCTTGGCCCCGCCGCCGCTTCAACTGGCCCCCGGCCACAAGACCGCCGCCGGCCGGCCACCACCCCCGGCGATCACTGGGGCGCGGGTGCAGGCCCTCCTGAACCAACCCAGGAGGCCGACGCCTCCTCTCCTTTCCCTGTATGCATGTTCTCTGGAAGAGATAAGGGAGAGAGAGAGAAAGGGAGGGGAGGGGGCGGCGGCGGATATATTAATTATTTTTGCCGAGTGTCAGATCATGGCACTCGGCAAATTTATCTTTGTCGAGTGTCTAGGGTTTTGGACACTCGGCAAATATATTAGTTATTTTTTTATTTCCTTGTTTTCCATAACATGTTTTTCCTTTTTTGTTCGATGTACTTTGAAAATATCTTGTCAAATATACTCAACAATATATATATGATTTTTCAACTAATATGATTCCATTATTTTATGCGGTTACGGTTCAAATTTAATTTATATCAATTAAAATTCTATAATTCCACTTAATAAATTAAAATTATCAAACGGATTCAAAAAATTACCAAAATTTCACATGAAACAATCTATGTTCTTTATTGCCTATACAAAAAGTTTTGAAGTTAAACCCCAATTCGACTGTCACTTTGACTCCAAATCTTACTGATTCCTTCTCAACGTTACGATTCTTCTTCTAAAATGCTTCGGTTTATAAATATCGTACGTGACAAATTGTGCGAACCTTCTTAATTTTTTACCACAGCCTCCACATATGATATCATCACATCATGACAAATCTCATGATTTTCGGACTTCGTTTGTTTTTTTTAGAATTTAAAAACCATTCAGCCACACGTTCGTGGTCGTGTTTCCTGTACAAGATGTTCGAATTTTTTTTTCTTTCCTGGATAAGGCCTCACTCGACTCAATAACATGAATACCATTTTTCTACTCATTTTATTCTATTATTTGAATCACTTGCAGTTCAAATTTGACATATACCAAAAAATTCTTTGAAATGCAATAAACTAATTAAATATAGCATACAGATCCACAAATATATCAAATTTTAACATGGAATACCATATGTTATATGTGGAGAGTAGAAAAAGTTTCAAGGTCATTTGAGAAAAATAAAATAAAATTATTTGTCGAGTGCCAAATAATTACACTCGGCAAACATATTTCTTTGCCGAGTGCCAGGCAATTACACTCGTCAAACATATTTCTTTGCCGAGTGCCTAGTTTTGCCGAGTGTTTTTTTTTTCTAGTTTGCTGAGTGTTTTTTGCGTCGTTTGCCGAGTGCAATTATTTTGCCGGGTGTTTTTTTGCAGCACTCGGCAAAGAGCTTGTTTGCCGAGTGCCCGATGAATTGCACTCGACAAACCATATTGCACACGGTTTACCTTCTGTTTCCGGTAGTGGTGGGGGCTGTGCGATGGCAGTGATGACAAAGAGGACATGTGGGATGGTCGACTGGCACCCAGACGCCATGGAGAATGCCAAAGCGACACGGTCGCGGTGGAGTCGTGGATGGCAGCCGCGGCACGATCGTGGTGGAGCACGGTCGCAGCGCAGTGGACATCGCGGCTTGGACGAGTGGATTCGATTGGGGGCATATGGACAGGCGGTTACGAGTGTTGGGCCATTGGGCATCATGGCCCACCAACGAAAGCATTCTGTAGGCCCAGGAAGCCTACGTCCGGACGGACAGGCGCTCTACGGGGAAGCATTTTCAAACTTAAATGCCTTGCTCTTAAAACGAATGGAGTATATATGTAACACATTACCAGCACTTTATTTAATTTCCAACAGCGGAACCGGTAAATAAATCTGTTCCAGCTATTATTCGATCGATTGTGTATCGGACTCAACCTAATAAGCTTTGTACGCAGCTTATTGCTCCTATTATTGCTGCTGCAGCTCCGTGTATGGCAACAGCAGCAGCAGCCCAAGGCCAGCCCGCCTGGCCTTGTTATACTCCATAAGCCTCTCCACGTCTGGAATCAGCCCCTTAACAGCATCCAGCGCGCAGAAGCGCTCCTCCCATGCCACCAGCAGCGGCGTCTTGGTGGCGTCGACGACCTTCACCCCGCAGATGGCCTCGGTGGCGTACAGCCATCCAAGGTGGCCGCCGAGCACGACGTCGACGAGCCCCACGCTGTCCCCTCCGAAGAAGGCACTACTACAAAAACGATTTTTAGCAACGAGGCCTTTTTTTTGTATGGGTGGCTCCACTACCAACTGCCCCTACAGTGGGTGAGCTCAGGTCCCATGATTCCA